CGAAGTTTGTGAAACATCAGTTCCCACATGCTCCTATGTCAATAGATTACAGGAAAATGTCCATCCATGTACCAGAGATATAAATCAGGTTATCGTCACTTTGTGATTAGTCACTTATCCGGCAACAGCAAGCATCAGAAGGGAATTGCAATGCTATCAATATCAATAGCAACAGGCAATTCCATCAGCAATCAGTATTTCCGCCATATCCAACCTTTGTAATGATATAACACACAGGTGCACAATGCGCATACCAGTGCGCATTGGTCAGGGAACAGGACATAACTCATGGTCCATGAAACATGAGTTGGTATCGGGTATGTGCAGCACAAAATGTGAGCCTGGCGAGCATCCACAGTAAAGATATATTAGCATTGCAATCAGCTCTAGAATCGCACAATACCATACTTGAGATTCTTTGCTGAAATTTGCACGCCACTTTTGCCAGCAAATCGTTGATATTAAGTCCTAATTATCGTTTCGTAAGACATGTGATCAAAATGTTGGCACCGGGCACTAAGAGCGGGGAAACGTTACAAATGTAGTGAATCGAAGTGTTTTGAATCCCACAATATTGTTGCTCCTGTTACAAACATCCGAATCGTCTTTTCATATTTTGTCGCACTTTGCCATTAGAGAGAGAGAGAGAGCAGTGTTTGTGAGACCTGCAATAAATAACGACGCAGGGAAGGCTCAAGGCTTAGTCATACATGACGCTGTATATATATATATATATATATATATATATATATATATATATATATGTATTTCTGGTGATATATCAAGTTTTCTGGACACATTTCCTTATGCAGCGTAAGAGATAAAGCCAGTGGTTCCTTCGGAACGTCGTTTAACCAGGACCTCAAAGCCTTTCTTGACACATCACTATCCTTCCTGCGCATTTCGACGAACGAAACTCTACACGAAGTTAGGCAGACAGACAGATAATGCCAAACTGCACACGTTCGTCTGCGCCGCACGGATGGCGGCAGGATCACTGCTGCTGTGTGGCTCTTGTCACCCGACACGGTTCTTCGGAACGAGCGCCGCAACTTGTCCGCCACTTCCGGAACGGTCGTGGCCCTTCCGCGGCTCCAAGTTCGAGCTCCCCGCATAGCACGTGGAGCTGGCTGGAGCAGGCGCTCATTTCGCCCACGTGAAGCACGTCCATCGGCGAGGTAGTTGCCGTATCAGCGCGAGGTCTTTACCGCGCGGATCTCCAGAGAGGATCGTCCGAACCGAACCGGATCACCGCGTCAGAGACGACGAAGCCGACAGAATTAGGCTCTTACCAGGATTCGTCGGCCGCGGCAGCCGCCGGCACCCACCAGCCCACCAGAGCCCTCGCCCACCACGGTGCGGACCATCGTAGCCAACCACCTCTGGACGAAGCCACCGCCTGAATTCGAGACCGGGCCAGTGTTTCGCCGTGGTGGTCCGCCGCACCGCGGAGGATGGCCATACCATACCCCTCGACTTGTGATTCGCCCCGACATCCCGGCGCTCGCGCCTAGCGTGCCCCGCATTGCGTGCCGTGTCGGGAACGAAACGCGGCGTATCGGGACGTGTCGTTGGCCCAACTTATCGTGATCGAACGTGGCCCAACTTATCGTGATCGAACGCTCGCCTTAACTCATGGTGGTCGCCCACATCCTGCTGCGCATCGTAATTGTGTTGTGTTCTGAACGAAATGTGGCTTTTCTGTCTAAAACGTAGAGGAGAGATGTGAGGTGAGTGTCGCTCCCAAAACATGCCTTGCCAAACTTGCTCTGACATGTTCTATGTTCTAACATGTTCTCTGGCCAAACATGTTCCGTGTTCCTGCTTTTGATCTTGCTGTGAAGGGCCATTTTTTGCTTTTCTTTCCAGTAGGTGCATACCGAGGACTTACTAAGTATACCGATATGTTTGTTGAGTGATACCGAGGGTTTAGCGGAATCAAACCTTATTTAGTGAACCTCCTCTTTGTCTTTAGAACACGTTGTTTAGCAGTTACCATGACCTAAAGATATAAACTCCATTAGCAGATTAAATTCCAAACCCATTCACATATCGTCATGTTGTGGTTGTAAAATAAAGCTTGTGGTCAAGAAGATCAGCATTTGTGCCATCTGCTGAAATGTGAGGCTCATTTTTAGCTACTTGTGAGATGGATATGCGCTATTTCTGGCTCCTCCAAGAAGCGATGCTCTTATTGGAAATCGTAGCTCGCCATTGTCACCAGTCCACATATTTTCACCGCCACGCCCACCACTGCTCACCAGCCCAGCTCACCAGCTCAGAGCACACACAACCACCGAGAGCAATTTGTTCGTCATCACGATACCGTGACAAGTCGGGCTTAACTGTTCTCTTCACACGCCTGGCCGGATGGCATCTTCGAGTGGCTGTCGATTTCCCAGTCCTCGTCCGCATGCGGCACGAGGGGCTCACGCGCCGCCAGAGGACGTTGGAGCCTGAGGTGTGGAAAACAGCGCCGTCGTCACTGCTGCCCTTGTGGCTAGCGCTCTGCTAAAGGTCGCTGGTCTAGCCGGTGGCGACGCTTCCGGCCAGTCGGGAGGTAGAAGCTGAAAAGGCCCGTGTCCTGCGTTTGCGTGGTCTTGCGTTTGTTCGGTCTTGCGTTTGCCTGGTCCTGCGTTTGCATGGTCTTGCGTTTGTTCGGTCTTGCGTTCGTTCGGTTTTGCGTTTGCCTGGTCCTGCGCTGGCCTGGCTTGCGCTTATAAGTCACGACTTTCGCTCGACGAGACGGAGGAGAAATATGAAGGGCCGGTCGTCGACGCTTGTCCAATTGCCGCCAGAACCTCGCGTTGTGCATCGGCGTCTTTCCAAAACACATGTTTGTTGTTTTGCGTAGTGTTTTCGTGAACTTTACGGTGATTGGGGTCGGACATTGGGGACGAGGACATGAGGCGACTCCTCCTCACACCGAAACTGGTGTGAGGAGTCACCTCAAGGTACCCCCAAAGTACGTAACGCTCCAACCACGAGTGCACGCGTGCATACGCAGCGCATAAGCCGGTCGAATGCGGTTCGCGAGGCGACCCTCTCTAAGCCAGCGGCACTGCGCGTGCATACACGCACACGTACCCAGCAAGACGTGAACAACAGCCACTCACACGAAGGCCTTGCAATGCTTCAGCGACGACTCGGAGTCTTTGGCATATGTATTTTTGTATGTTAAAGTCTGTTTTTGACTGCTTTAACCGCGCTGGGTGACCTCTGTGTGCTGGTCGGCATGTGACGCTGCACCAATGAGCCACCGCGTTCGGCGGCGCGTGGCAGCAATCGCCTGACAACGTTGTCAGATGATATCTTGTGGCGCAGTTTCCAAGGCGCTGAAATAGTAACAATAATAAATATAATAACAGATGTTCAGGGTTTGCACCACATGCGGAATATTGCGAGGATTGCGAGGACACTAAGAAAATAGACCATAACGATAAATACATGCGGAGGAGAAGAGCAGCCGCGGTTAGTTCGATCAGTACCACCATCGCAGCAATGACAGGCATTGCAGCATAAGGAACGTGCACTAAGTGCGCGTAACAGGCTGCTGCGCTACGGTCCTCGATTAGGTCCGTTTGACGCTAGCGCGCCGCGCAATACCGTCATGCTATTGTCACATTATTGTGTTATGAATGTCTGCAAGACAATCGTATCATTTCGAACCAGGAGAATAGCTGCAATGAGTGGATTGATTCACCTGAACGATGCGGTTTCCTCCTGCCATTTATTTAGAACTGCTCCGTTCTCTGCTCCGTTCTGGCCTACCCACTGTCTGTCATTGCTGCTGGTTCACTAGCCTCCGTTCCTGGTATCTCCCACACCCCAGCCATCCGCTGCTGGGAGCCCCGCCCTCTGCCTCTCCCGTCGCGTTCCCTACTCTGCCCAAGTCTCCCCGTCCAGTCGAGCGGTGATTTAGCAACGACTGACTGCAGTGAGCAATAGCCAGGGACTCGAGATACGTCGTTAGCGGTCGGTCGCGCAGGACCGCCATGTGCCAGATCGATTCGTTCATTACGTCGCCTCTGACGTCACGCGTTGCCGTTTTGACGTCATTGTTTGCCGGGCACTTGGTGTGTGGTTGGTTTGGAGGGTGGCAGACATTGCGATCCGTTTGATTGACGTGCTATTTATGCTGGAGCGTAGCAGGATTCTTTGCTGAAGCAAAGCAATACGGGTTTTCAGGAAGGGCATGTGGCCATGTTGACAAAAAAAGTCATCTTCCCCACACTTTTTGTGCTCGGATGGCTTCAGCATTTGAGGGCTAGATCTCTTTCATTGCACACCCTTGGTCTAGAATGCACACAGGAGCTATGCATTTCATAAGATGCAAACTGCGAAAGTGTTCTAAGAAAAGTTGTTTAATGCTTCATGATTTATTAGACGATGAAGCGCAAAGGTGTGCAATATTTGTGTTAGGTGCGTTATGTTTCTTGATTGTAGCCTTAGCCGCGAGCTTCATACTCAACCAAAATACAACATTCACGGCAAGCAAATTCATCGCAGACACAGAATTTCTTCAGTGCATAATTGTTCGCTTGCTGATTAGGTGGCTGAATGATTAGAATGTCACTGGCCGTAACATAAGCTCCATTTTGTGTAAAGATGGCCGGATTTCGTTCGATCGTTGTATCGAGTTTGACCATATTGTTATTAACACAACATGCAGCGTGATTTGTAGCTAATCATTCCAAGTTTAAATAACATTGTATCCATTTGGGAGAAAACGACTTGTGCATATGTTTTATCATAATTCTGAATCCTCACAGCCTGGCGACACTGGCCCGTTGTAGCCGCTGAACAGACATCACAGCTGCCACATGAGAATGCTCACAGAATTTCCAGGACGGAGTAGGCATTGTCACGCAGCAACAAAACCCGCGATTTTCAAAGAAAGTCAAATACAAACGGCGAGAACCTTTGTCGTGCCTGCCAGAAAGACTTTTGTTCTCATCGCGCTTGCTTCCGTGCTTGTTACGCACGTGTGTCTTTTTCAGAATAAAGTGGTGGAGGTCGACGACGCCAAGGTGAAGCTTCAGGTGTGGGACACGGCTGGCCAGGAGCGATTCCGATCGGTCACCCACGCCTACTACAGGGACGCCCACGGTCAGTGAGTGCCAGGTGTTTGGCTGCCTCCCGGCGCGCTGACCAAGGAACACATTGTCATGACGAGGAATGTCAGAGAACAAAGCGGCGAGTGTCTCGTGTCCAGATGGAAGTGACTGCTCCCTGTATCGGCCCTGTAGTCTCTCTACGCCCCTGTACGCAGCACTGCCTCCTGCATCCTACCCTGTAGGTCTGGCTACGCCCCTGTACGCAGCACTGCTCCTGTATCGACGCTGTGGTCTGGCTACGCCCCTGTACGCAGCGCTGCTGCTGTACCTACCTTGTAGTTTCGCTACGCCCCTGTACGCAGCACTGCTGCCTGTACCTACGCTTGTGGTCTGGCTACACCCCTGTACGCAGCACTGCTCCTGTATCGGCGCTGTACTCGGACTACACCCCTGTACATAGGACTGCTGCTGTATCGGCCCTGTAGTCTGGTTTTACCACTTTACGCAGCACGCACCTGCACAGGTTAGGGAACTGATATTCAATAGCAATTTTAGAAAGTGCTGTCGAAGTGATAATGCTTTACTTTGGCTGCAAAGCCTCTCGGGGTCACCTCGTAGGCCATAACGGATGCGATCTGCGAGTGGTTAGGTTTAGCAATGGCCAAAGAGACACCGGTAATAAAAAGCATGCTTGGCTCTCGAACTGCATACGCCAGACAGCGGCACAGTTCGTCTGACCCATAGCTGACGTCATGACGTCATCTTAAGTAGGGGTGACTCTGGACTGTGTCTTTTCAGGACTGAAACAGTGTTCAAAGCTCAAAGCGATAAGAAACACAATTTTGGCAGACCAGCGGATAAGTACATTACGCAAATTCTGAGGCGGTGAATAGACAAAACATGCAAATTTTGGCTAGGGGCGGATAGATAAATGGTGTAATTGTTGCAGGAGCGGATACGTCAAGGACGTAGATCTGACCTATGAGAAGGCATATAGATATTCCAGATTTTGACAGAGGAGCGTGCAAACAAATAGTGCAAATTCTAACAGAGCAGCGGATATATACTAGCGCAAATTTGGACAAAGGGGTGAACAGATGAAAATACGTGATGTAAATGCGAGGTTTTATGTGATGACCTCTAACTTCTTTGGAAAAATTACATGTCAGTATCCCGCTGTGCGCCGGCATGACCCTGCACGCCATGCAGGGTCATGCCGGGCGAAGATGTGACGTGCGAAGACGTAATCCCTGGTCCCCATTGCTAGCGACATGCGGCGAAAGGGTGCACAGAACCAAAACACGACCTAGGGTTCAGCCCACACTGCTGAAAGCAGCCCGTATTCACCACCGGCATATCACTGCTGATGGAAACGGTAGGCATTAAATGCGGTCTTTTGTCGCGGCGCCGGCCATAGACAGATTAGAGGCCATTGGCCGTTTTTCCCCACTTACTTCGTACGCAAGTGGGTAATTAGGCTGCAATTCATTTCGTTTTTCACCGAGGTTTCCACAGGAATATTAGATTACACGAATAACGTCGCCTGCATCGGTAACGGTTCCCTTGGCACAGCAAATGCAGCGTTTAACGTCTGAATTCGCAATGGGCTCCTTGGAGGGTGGGAGAAAGCACTTGAATGTTTCCAACTCTCTGTAGTCTACGCAGCGTGGTAGTCAGCGGGTTAGTTCTTGGCATACACAGTATCGCCGCCTATGCTAATCAGGCTTAAGCACAAACTCCAATATCTGATTTTGTTATGAGGATCTTTCAAGGTACATGACACCACTCTAATGCTAAACGTCTTGCAGCCTTGCTTTGTGGTGCCCAGCTTGCTAATTGTTTTATCCAAAATGTTAGACTTTACGTTAATCGATATATGACATGACGCCTCTGTGATATGATGTTTGATATATGATATGATACATGACATGACGCGTAACGTTTACGATACTATCATGGGTGTCTTTGGCACGTGATAAAACGTCGCGTCCCTACGGTGTCCTACCGGGTTTTGCAGTGTAATGGCTATCTTTTTCCAGTTCATTCAAACTAGAGGATGTGAAACTCTGTAACAGGTTAAACATGTTAAGCACCTAACAAAAGTTTATGTTTTCATTGTTAAACTACGCTTTGTTCATTCTTCGTATGTGTTCATAGAACGGGATGAAAATCCGAGGATTCTTTCTGTATGCGGTTCTGTTATATACCAGTCCTTATTCAAGGGCTCGCAAACGGGGGAACAAGTTCCCTGACTTCCAGAATTTGACATGATCCCTCTCGCGCCGCATGGACAGAAAAGCTCCAAAAAGTGCGAACCCCAAGTTAGTTCGGGGTCTCCAAATCTGTCCGCCGTGGGTGCGCTGCTGTCTTCACTGAACGGCCAGCATGACGAGATAAGCCGTTCTGAGCCGCTCCTGCGGTCGCCTCGAGGATTTGACTACCACCGAAAGCAGCGTGCCACAGCGCTCTGAAATCACGGCCGCAAGCACACGCGGCTCAGGTTCAGGACCCTCAGGCACTTTGGTCTTTTCACCTGGTACTTCAGTACAAATAAAACGCTGAGGATGAATGACTAGGCGTCACCCCAACGAGCCACAATGCGCGCACACGCACACGCCCATACGGACATGCACGCGCATACGCACACGCGCGCACGGGCTTTTCGGTGACGCCTAAACAAGATTGCACGTCTCAAGTATCCGCTGAAGGATGGTACAAGCGGATCAATATTGACACGGTTCAGCATGGTGACCCCTCGGGTAAACAGTCGGCGCCGGCCTGCTTCAGCTCGGGCTCGAGGCCGTGTACGCAGTCAGCATGTCAGATGCTGAAACAGTGTAGCTCGCGAGCTTTTGGGCTGATGGTTTTGCTAGTGTGCTTGGGAGTAACCGTCCTCATAGCTCGTTCGATTGCGTGGAGGGTAGGCGTTTAGCTAATGCATCCGCTTGTGGACGGTGTAATCTATTTTAGCTGAGTATTCAGCCGGCGAACGGCAATGTGCAAACTCTGCACAATTTCAGGTCGGAGCAATCTAAGCTTTTGGCTTATGGTGACGACCGTGCGTGGGTAAATTTGGGATCCCAGAGGATCATGCTGAAAGCATATGCTTTGAACTACGGTGGCGTACCTCGTAGCTCATTAGCAACTGTTACATTGGCCCCAAATAGCGCCTGACGTGACTTAGCTTCATACAGCAGAGAAGTGGTCGAAACCGAGTGCCCCCTGCCGGCTTACTCGGGTTAGGATATGCCAAGTGAGGATTCAGAATGGGGGCGTCTTGGGGTAGGTTTCCCCACGCGGTCCAAGTTAGGCAAAAATAACACTTGTTTTACTTGGGAAACAAATCCAACCAACTTTGACTAAAAGAAGTTTGTTTCGAAGTACTTCACGAGGCAAAAGTGAGCGAAATCCGAGGAGTTTTTCTAACCAGGAAAAGCTTGTAGGTTCTGACCCGCGAACCCATCCCCGCCTCGCGAAGATGGCGCCTTATAGCCGAACCCTGGGTTTTCTCCTCATGGAATGCGGCAGTCGGGAGAGCCGTGTTCCGCTCGTGATGCCCAATCACCATCGCATCTGCTGAGATCGCTCTGCGTCGTTCGATATCTCTCTTCGATCTCGATTCGATCTCATATATCGAGATCGCATCGTTCGATATCTCTATTGGCATTGTTTGCAATGATATTGAACGCATCTCCCCCCCAAAAAAAAACTCGAAAAGCCCTGCTGGAACCAAGTCTAACGCGTGAAAACTGCAGAGCACTCTGAATATTTCGTTGAATGTTTGTTGAAGTCAGACAGTCAAGACCTGGAACTTGGGATCCGCCGCCAACCTTATCTATGAGTAATTGAAATACGGATGAGTTTAATGGCGTCATGCGTTTAACTTAGTGATGTCATGCGTGAGCTTAAATGAAAACCGGTGATGTTTTGCTTTAAGCATGTATATAGGTTCAAGGTGGTTGCATGAGATCTGGGGGCACTTCGAGCACCGATCTGAAGTTTGGCTTTTTTAACCCACTTGACCCCAAAGTCGCGACCTAGGAACGCCACATTTTGACTGAAGTGAGTTCGCATACAGGCCAATGCACTCCGTAAATTTACTGTCTCTAGCTGCCTTACTTTTTGTGATCTCAGAGGTCAAATTGGCGCCTCACCCCCCTCCCTCCCCCCCCTAGCGAAGGATACTCAACGGGCCGTCCAGGCGCGTGCGAATCTTGTTGTGCGCGTGTGTCAGAGAATAATTTAGAATAGGCCCTGTTTTTTTGTCAAGTGAAACAAAGTTGAAATTCGTCTGATCCATTCCCCAGCTCTTAGTAAATTTCTAATCCATGTTTTGTTCATTGTTCACACCGCCAAACTAACCCGGAAGCTTATACCTTAAAATTTTGAGGCTTATTGTAGTCTATTATGCATTGAACTACTGCCTCGTTCTGTTACGGGCACAAAATGATCATTGTAGTCGGTGCGTCGCAAAACCCCAATCGTCGTCGTCATCATGATCGTTATCATCTGTATGTTACCTTAGACTAACCATTCTGATAAGATTTTACCCTAACTTACTGGAAAAACAGGTTCACCGGATATCTGATCAGTGGGCCAGCCATCCAGCAACCTTGTTTTTGTTCACAGAATGTATCAAAATCATTTTTTAGGTGTGCGTCTATTTTAAATTTTATCTAGAAGTGTCTCAACGCACCTTGGTCTTCGCAAAGCCAGGCAATCCGTGTCGTCCACCGAGAACAAACGATGATACGGTGACCTTTCAAAAAGCACTAACGTGTGTCTTGCCCCGGCTTGAGTGGCGTACGGGTGCGCACGTGAGCCTGGTCGCCCAGGCTGTCAAGTCGGTGTTGACGTCGTGCAATCATCGTATGCGGCTCTCCAGTCCCGTCTCTCAGGGAGCAAATTGGAAACTTTCGGCGGATGACGAGCACTTGGCAGAGCGCATGGGTGGTCTTCGCATATTCGCACCTTCACCAATGATGGAAGGCCGGTTTCCCATGGGTTTCGAAGTGAAGCCGAAGCCTGCTCGTAGACCGGTGGTTAACTGGTCAGCCTCTGGCTTCGCAGTTCCGTCTTATGCACTCGGGTAACGGAATACGCCTCACCTGTGGTGATGTGGAGCATCGCTCTTCGAGCTGATGGTAACGCTGCAGGGTGCTGAGCACATGGAGCCACACTTGAGCAGAGCCGTTATAGTTCTGACGCCGACAGGTCTGACGGTGCCCCGGTAAGCCGCGGCGTGCGTAATGCCGCGCTTATAATGGGGCCGGCGTGCGTTATGACCTGATGGGACTCGACGTCATGACCTGACGGGACTAGCCGTTATGACCTGATGGGACTAGCCGTTATGACCTGATGGGACTCAACGCGCTGACTGAAACTGGATGGCGGGGCAGGGCTCGTTAACGCCGCGTGGTAATCAACTGGATGGGAGGGGGGGGGGGGGGGGGCGGCACGTTGGATCCGGCGTGGTAATAAAAGGCGCGCGGCCTCAGTCAGGAAGAGTGCGCTACGACTTTTCGGACCGGGCCGGTTGATCGATTGGCGTTCGGATGTAAGCGCGCCGACCTGTCCGAGCGCCCCCCCCCCCCCCCATACGCTGACCCCGATCAGCGGATCACGTCAATAGAGAATGCTGTGCGGCCTTGGTGCCGACGCTGAAGTGGACGACGTATGCTTCGTCTGCCAATACAGTCCTACAGACGTCGGGTCATCGAAGCTCCTTAGGACGACTCTCCTAAAGTCTTTCTGAACGACTCTCTAGAGCTCCTAGCAGACCAGACCACGCTGTCGATCCTCGCACCGGGTGTTCCCTCGGTGTAGCCCCACGACACCGCTCCGGAGTCCACCCAACACGGGGTCCAGTCGTGGGCGCCGCCCCATCCACCATCTGCAGGCGCTCGCGATGGTGTCGCGCCTGATCATCGCCTCCGCGGTGTCCCCAGCGCTGCTGCTCCTGTACGACGTCACAAACAAGACGAGCTTCGAGAACACGCGCGCCTGGCTGGCGGAGATACGCGAGTACGCCCAGGACAACGTGGTCATCATGCTGCTGGGTGGGTGCTGGAGGGGAGGCGGCGGACTCGGGGCGGACAGGTCCGGCCTATCTCCCTCCCTTTCTACCTCCCTTTCTCCCTTTTCCCGAGCCTGCAGCTGATCACGCTCGAATGTCAGTCCGTCTTTTCAAACGGCGCAAGGAGGGGAGGAGGGAGGCAAACTGTAATGCATTACGAGCGAGGTACTGAGGGTCGAAGCAACAGTGTGACTGGCCCCACGTGGAGTGATAACAGCAAAAAAAAACATGCCCGGACGATCACGTGGCTGTGTATGGGTAACGGCGGCATCACATACGAATATGACAGCATGATATTGCCCCTGGACGCGATCACGACAAAGGCCAAAGTGTGTTGCCGTGCCCGGGAATCAGTGTGAGTCCATACCCAGCTAACAGTGTGACCGGCGCACTGGTACACCCCACCGCGACTCCACACCACAGCAACAGTGTGCTTCCGCGCCCGGTCACAAGTGCGGTCCTGTGCCCAGGTAACAAGTGTGACCGCACTGAAGATCGCGTGATACAGTTTGACCACGGGGAGAGACTAGCGCGCGAGTTCAACGTGGTCTTCATGGAGACTTCAGCCAAGACGGGGATGAACGTCGAGCTCGCGTTCAGCGCCATCGCGCGGTCAGTGTCGTGCGTCATCTGTCATCTGGCACCTGTCATCTGGCATCCGTCATACGTCATCTGTCAACGGTCGGATGTCGTCTGTCGAGTTTGATATATCATGTCATCTGTCATCGGTCACATGTCATGTGTCAGTTGGCACATGTCATGTGCCATCTGACATCAGTCTAATGTGTTGTATATCATCTGTTATTTGTCACCCGGGTGATTTAGGTTGTCGTGGGCACCTATGCCCAGCGATTCAAGCGATCGCTGTGGACCCTTTGGTCTGGCACCTCGTTAGCTGGCTGTTTGGTTCCGTGCATTGTACTAATTCTAAGCTCATGGGGATGTGCATCGTGCTATTTTCTTTTTATCTGTCTGTTCGTTTGTTTGTTCCTGCTTTCCTTCGTTGGCCAAATTTCCTTTGATTTTCGTTTAGTTTGCTCGCCTATTCGTCCGTCTGCCAAATGCTCGAATGACATACAGCTGGTTTCTTTTGTGAGTTCCCGTAACAGTTGTTGTGGTGGATTGTAACGTTCCACTCTGACACTATATATATACAGAGAGAGAGAGCGAGAGCGAGAGCGAGAGCGAGAGCGAGAGCGAGAGCGAGAGAGAGAGAGAGAGAGAGAGAGAGAGATAAGAGAGAGGAGAGGAGAGAGAGAGGGAGAGAGAGAGTGTGTTGTTGTCCGTGGTATTATGAATGGATGCATATCTGACATGTAATGTATAATGCATTGTTATATATATATATATATATATAATATATAGATTTATATCTATATATATATATAATAGCGCATCATATTTTAGGGAGGTTGCTCAACATAATGGTACGGACTACACTGGTCGTCATTTTTACGAAGTATACTTCCACCTTCAGTGTTTTCTGTCTGTATAAGAGTGCTGCAATACGTTTCTATCCTTACGGAGAGGATGGTAGACTGTTTATTTTTAGTTTCTCCTTTGGTCCGCCCCCACCTGATTACGCGTCATGGTTAGTGGCGCACTCCTGACGTTGATCAGGATACACGGCTGAGCCTGCTCATGTCCCCTGGTGCGCAGCGGGGGCGGTATGGGCGCACAATCGCGTGCTCTGATGAACTACCAGTGACGCAATAAGACGATCAGCTTGGAAAATGGACGCTGATCTGGAAGTTTTATCCTTGATGAGGATCATAAAGCGCGCGTGACCGTTTATAATGTCGGAGTATAATTACATGCCTAAATGAATATTGATTGACTTCCTAATGAGCTGGCCCGCTATGAATATAGAGTGGACCCCCTCGGGCCTCGTTTATTGTCGATTGTGGTCTGGCATCGAACCGCGCGACCACTCACTCTCACAGAGGCCATTGTCATCATCAGGTAAGCCTCCATAATAGAAATGATCAGGTGCAGTATTGGGGAAATCCAGGAGGCAATAATGCTCATCGCTCCGTCCACTTGCCCATTTGTTTACCTGAGCCCCGGCCCGACCTTTTCTGCTGGTGGTGGGGGACACTACACGTAGGCTGTTCGGCGGGTGGAGATCTGGTGACGGTCCTCAAGCTCGCCAGAAGGTGCTATTCGCTGATCGTTGCAGAAACATGCTCGTTTGCCACAAAGGTGGGTTGGGGGAACGCGTTGAACGCTACGGAGACAGGTGGCGTAGATGGCGCTGTAGGACTGCGGGTGCTTGGAATAGGATCGCTCGGAATTAGTCCTGTTCGGAAGCGATTAAGCTAGCATTGTGCTGCACTGTGTCTACGACACCACGAAACGCAAAGGGGAAACGAAATACCGATAATAGCCTTACATAAACACACTTATTGGCTGAGAAACAGTAAGCTGATGACGTGACTACTGCTGTTCGGTGTGTTTGTGTGTAGCATTAAGGCTTAACGACGCACTCAGCTCATGAGGCTATACGGCGTCGCCTGCCTCTCACCCTGGCAGGAAGGGCGGGCACCGTGGGGAATCGAAACTGTGTATCTCTCGTTTCCAAGACGCCCCGCTTAACCAGTACGGTATCAGCACCGGGCGTCGCTGGGTGGACCTCTGAGTATTCTTTGGAGAACACAGTCGATCCGCCATAGCGCCAAGGCTCACTGCCTCCCCGAGCTGCCCTTTTGTAGTGTCGACAGAGCCTCTCGACGATATGAGGCCTCGGTGACATCCCACGTCACATCCGGTTATTTGAAATCTGCATGGGTCATGAATTACGTTGCCATCGGGCGCTCCTCAATGGCGGATGTGGAAAGCTACGCTGGCGCCGCGCTGGTTGACTGCAGACGCGACGGCGTCTCGATTTTGCAGCACGGCGTGCTGTAATAACGAGTGATCTGTGACGCAGTAGCTTTGCCGAATCGTCGCTTTGGGGTGATTTGGTCTTGACTGCGCCATCCTGGTGCTGAGTGCACTTTCTCACACATCTTCCGTCAGCTGTCGGCGTCGGCCCCACGAAATGTCGGAGACGGAATCTCGCTTCGTCTCGGCGCGCTTCATGCATGCACCAACCCACGTGTAAGATCGGTTGGTGCATGTATGAGATGCATGCTCTTCACGTGACGGTCAAGCCTAGTGATCAGCTCCGCCGCTGCAGCCGTCCGGCTGATGAGCGGCCCGATGGCCCTGCTCCGTGTGACGCTCGCTTCTCCGGCAGGGACCTGCTGCACCGACGGCTCTACCCCAACGGCGGCACCTTCAACGTGCGCCAGTTCGTGGAGGCGCGCTCAGAACACTCGCCTGCCTGCGCCTGCGGCACGTAGTGCGCCTGCGCCTGCGCCGCTTGGGGCGCCGGGCTCGGGTGCCCGAGCGACGGCACCCGAGCGACGGCGCCCGGCCACCGCAGGAGCAGCGGGCGCGCGCCCGCTGGCGTCGGACCGGCGCGACGGAGGACGGGGCGGAGGAGGCGGCTCAGCGACGGGCGTGACCTGGCGGGACAGGACGCGCCCGACGGGCCGCCGTCTGACCCGACAGCGGGCCTCCGTCGTCGGCCGACTAGCTTCGAGTGCACGCTGACGCCGCAGTGGTCGGCTCCTGCCAGCGCTGGCGGTGCGAGCCGGCCCCGAACAGACGTGTCTGTGCGCCGCCCGGTGTCGTGCGAGCTTGCCCGGTGGCGGTGCTCCGGGGCCGGCGGGAGGCGGAAGCGCTCCAGCACAGGGACGCCACAGCGCGGTCCGTCCGTGAGTACGTCGGTCTCCATGCGGTGCAGTGCTGCGAGTGTGTGGTTGAACTCAGGCCACGCTGCGCTGGTGGAGCGGGGTAGCCAGACGGACGGTCGTCCACCGCTGGGGCGGGCGTGGAGTGCACTGAGTGCTGGGGGCGGGGTCCTGAGGCGGCGCGACTTTGGGGCGGCGCGGAGTGACGGCACGAGCCGCGCAGAGTCGGAGGAACAGTAGGCTTGTCTGTGTCTGCCATACATATGTGTCAGATAGAAGTGTTGTCTCGGTGATGGTGAAGTCTTCGATGGGGGGTGGTGACACTGGGGGGGAGGAGGAGGAGGCCGGGGACAGCCCAAAAGCGAAGCGTCTGTTTTCTGCCGCTGTGGGCTGTCGCTTGTGTCGCAGTGTGGCTGTTGAATTGTGTATCTCGTTTAAAGCTGCAATATCTAAATCGAAACAGGGTCTGTTGAGGTGGTTTAACCCTGGGCATATACAATATTCTGTTTAAGATACGTCGACCTGGAAGCGTTTTAGTGGCCCGGCAATTGTACTGAGTGACCTTGCTGTACAAAACCGCCGCCTACTGTAAGCAACACCTAAGCAGGTTAATAAGGCTGATACCATATCGCCCGTTCGTTTCAAGACATGCCTTCTTTGTGCAATCAGTGTCGTGCATCATATCTGTGACAGGATGTGAAATATATTCTTGTTTTCGACAGAAAATGCAGGGCAAGAAACTAAGTGGAGCATGTGTTTTTGTTGTCCTGAAGCGGAATGGGTGTCACGCAAGCCTAAATTATGAGCTATTTCCGGGACATAGTGTAACCGATCTGAATAAATAGCTGCACGAATTCTACACGAGATTAAACGAAATACCCTTAAATACTGGTCATCAAACGAGATAGATACGAGAAACTCCTGACATAGATGAGAGAGACAATCTAGAGTAATATTTATCCTCGCACACACTCTTGGTCTCCGTGCTATGCAAGATAAGATTTTTTAAGATCAGCTTTCACCTTATAGAAATACTACCTTCCGACTTACGTACGAAACCGGACGGCCAAACGGCTCCGCAGCATTCAACCGATCGCCGCTAAAGTTCCAGTGAAACATGTCGTGCTTGAGAGTCGAACTCCGACACGCGGCCACGGACTAGATCCGCCGCTGACCGCGTCACAGGCTCGGTCAGCTGCGCCCTCGTGCTACACCGCTCGCGCTGCCGCGTAGCGTGCAGCCTACGTAGCCTACGTAGCCTCTTCTCCGACAGAGTCAAGGGCCGGCCGCCCGGCTTGTCGCGTGCGACAATGCCACGCCCTCCGTCTCACCGCGCCAGCAGATGGGCGCGAAGTCCGGTGTTGACACACGGTCAGCTCGCCTGTTGACATAAGGTCAGCCCGCATGTTGGTCCTGGTCGGCCGCCGCTGCGTCGCTGTGTGGAGCGGAAAGCGCCTCGCTGCGTGCTGTTTGAACGCAGCCGTGTGGTGCCGTGACGTCATGTCAGCACTTCTGGCGAGGCGAATTGTTCGCACCATCTGTGACAGCGTTGGGACCCGCCTTCTTGGTGAAATGTGCGTTGGGCAGATCTGATGCTAGTTGTTTTTTTGTGTGAAGTCCTACAAGCCTCAGGACCTTAACTTGCGGTCGCGTGGAAGGGTGGAAGTGGAAGGCTTATAAGTAAACACTTCCCCACGCTCCGGAAATTACCCCCGAATGTTGGGCTGAAGGAAGGCCCCAAAAGTGTTCAGTGGCTGACGAGTGGTCGATTTGACAGATTCTCAACGAAATGGTTTCGATGCTAGGTCAGATCATCACGTTATGGTCTCATAAGTGAGGGCTTTCAAGGCATTGTTCATCTCTGCGTAGTTCGCTTTATTCTATGTGATCCTTGACATCGAAGCGCATAAGGTTTTCTTCCATCCACATGTTTTACTCGACGTGTGGATGAATTGGATTGCTCATAATGGCATTTTGGATGTGAGGAATGCAGAATAACATCTAACGAAATTACACGTGGATTTCCAAGACCAGCAGTCGTTACCAATAAAAAGCAGCCGAAGAAGATTCTCCACTTTGTCGCCTTTTTTGTCGGTTCGCGCGAGGATTCATAATATTCCGTGAAACAACATTGAATGCGATTTAATTTCGTTACGTACGTCATTCTAAGTGTGCTGTCAAGTGCAGCTCCGAAAGATCGCCGCAACCAAGACTTACCACGCGCAGGGACCTCTCTTCGGGGTATCAGTGGACGCCCAGGCGCGGCTTTTACCAGGGGGCACTGACGCCCGCTCGTGGCTCTTGCGCACGGCTTGTATCGGAGAGACGGCACGTTGCGATGTTCATGATGAAGCGTAAATGGCGGGTGACATCCGTTAATGTCGCTCAGACATGGATGACGTCGCTGAGAGGTGCTGGCCTGTTGAATCAGAGCCGGACTTGAAACCTGACTCGGGGCCGGGTCTAAAACCTGACTCAGAGCCGGGTCTGTAACCTGACTCAGAACCGGTTATGAAACCTGACTCAGAGCCGGGTCTGAAACCTGACTCAGAACCGGGTATGAAACCTGACTGAGGGCCGGGTCTGAAACCTGACTCAGAACCGGGTATGAAACCTGACTCAGAACCGGGTATGAAACCTGACTCAGGGCCGGGTATGAAACCTGACTCAGAACCGGGTATGAAACCTGACTCACAGCCGGGTCTGTAACCTGACTCAGAGCCGGGTCTAAAACCCGACTCAGAACCGGGTATGAAACCTGACTCACAGCCGGGTCTGTAACCTGACTCAGAGCCGGGTATGAAACCTGACTCAGAACCGGGTGTGAAACCTGACTCAGAGCCGGGTCTGAAACCCGACTCAGAACCGGGTATGAAACCTAACTCACGGCCGGGTCTGTAACCTGACTCAGAGCCGGGTATGAAACCTGACTCAGAGCCGGGTCTGAAACCCGACTCAGAACCGGGTGTGAAACCTGACTCAGAGCCGGGTCTGAAACCTGACTCAGAACCGGGTATGAAACCTGACTCAGAGCCGGGTCTGTAACCTGACTCAGAGCCGGGTATGAAACCTGACTCACGGCCGGGTCTGTAATCTGACTCAGAGCCGGGTCTGAAACCCGACTCAGAACCGGGTATGAAACCTGACTCACAGCCGGGTCTGTAACCTGACTCAGAGCCGGGTCTGGAACCCGACTCAGAACCGGGTATGAAACCTGACTCACAGCCGGGTCTGTAACCTGACTCAGAGCCGGGTATGAAACACGCTCTGTTTGCTGAGCGGAGGTCCAGCCAATCGTTCGGGGCACGCGTCACCGAACCGAGGACATCTAATGCCTTTCCGACCAAGACCAGACCCAAACCAGACCCAGACCCAGACCCGACCCAGACAGGGGCTGCTGTCAGGCTACAGCCGGACAGAAAATGAATGAGGCATACCGACTCTGATTCTGAGTCTGACTCCAAATTTACAGCCTAGGGGGGGGGGGGGGCAATGTTGCTGCGGGGTCTGCCACAGAGTGCGCCACAACCGATCAAAACATCTGGTTGGCCCAGAGGCGTCATTTGGACGGACGTCGATAGCCGGGGACAACGCTAATAAACTGCAACGTCCCCGAGGGTCACTGTGTTCCCTTTCCCTGCTCAACCGCGGCAGAGGAGATCTCATCTTTTGAATGTGATGTGGATTCTCGGATCCCTGGCTCGCTTCGCCGGGGCAAGACGTGTGATCACCTGCCAAAGCCGCCAGATGTGAAACCACAGTGCCGCCCTCCTGAAACTTGCCGGGACTTTTTCGAAACTTTTTTTCTGAACGCTGTTGCTGGAACGCTGAAAGCGGCCATTGTCCAGCAGCCCAACTATGCCGCTCAATGACTTCGCGAGTTTCGAAAACACCAATGAGGCTTATTAAAACTTCTGACGACTGTTATGGAAAAACGTCGCACATTTTTCGTGCGAGTGCATTTGCAACCCTTTACCTATTGAGGCATGCGAAGGCAGTCTGAAATGCTCCCACCTTCGTGTTATCTAGTCGCACGCTCAAATCTCCTGACATCACCATCTGCGCACTGCCCTCGTTTTGACGTTTCCGCGCGAGCATCCCACTCAGCCTGCGCTCTCCGTCCTATAACTGAGGGTCATTCCACGACAAACCGACCGAACGATAGCACGGCTAACTCCTTCAAATTAGACAACCCATCTACCAGCTAAAAATACGGTCAAAACACGATTCTGTAAGTTTGAGACCTGTTCGGCGTGGCAATGAGGAATTATGAGCAAATGAAAATACGAGACGACATAACGAACCCTACTTTTCAACTTTCTCTGGCGAAAATGGTTTGCGGTGCATAATGTGACGAAAAGTTTTATCGAAAAGCTATATGCCTATATTTTTCGGAAACATAGGTCGCTGCATCATTCAAAGTTAACTAGGTACATAAGTTACTTAGTTTCACCTTCGACCCAATTTTCTGAAAATCGTGAGCCTTTTATTTCCTTTAAACCGATACGTTATTGAAGACCAGTTTATTGCCGCTCAGTCTACAAAAGAAATTGATGGGCTCTCTTTTAGTTCGGTTACAAATCAAAACTGAACATAATTTTCTGTGC